GGTTTCAAATTTGTTGACATTTTTGTACTTGGTTTTGACACCATTATTGAATCCTCTTTCTTTGTTTTATTAGGAAATTAGCACCCAAAATAGGTTTAATGCATGATTACCGACGTGGGTCGTTTCTGATTTATTTAAAATGTTCGATGTGAACGGCGTGAGTTCTTGTTTCAATTAGAAAGTTTGATATCTCGTAATTTCCTTTGAGTTGAAAAATGCAAATGGGACTAGTGGAAATGATCTGTAGTTGTTGGATTGCATTGTCTTGCAATCCGGATGGAATATAAAACAAAGTTGTTGAAGAACGTAAAATTTCAGGGGTTCCTTTTATATGCCTTTAATTTGTCGTAAATCAAAGATCAAAACAAAGAGGGAGATACGTTCACATGTATACCTCAATAATACTCGATTTGTCTTTTAAACAACAAGAAAATGATTGAGGTATTCTCATACGTTTAACTAGGGGTGCTCATGGGTTGGGTTGATCGGGTTGAGGATATTTGAACAACCCAACCCAATGCTTGTGGTTTGGAAAAATCTTAACCTAACCCAACCCAACCCAAACCAAAGTACAACCCAACCCAACCCGTACGGGTTGGTCGGGTTAGTCGGGTTGGTCGGGTTGATACTTTGGTATATTAAAATATTCTTCTAACCTTGAATATGTTATTTATCTACTCATAATTTATTTTTTATCATCAACCATTTGATACAATTTATTCATATTTCTTACGTATATCACATTCAGTTAATTTTCTTAATTTACATATATATGTTCACAGTTATTGAATGAGTTATATAAAGATATGAATAGATTGAAAATATGTGTATATGAAAAGCATACATGATAGTGTAATTGTCTAATGTATATATTAATAGAAATTCAACAATCATATTAAATCCAAGAAATAAAAGAATATCGGGTTCATCGGGTTGGGTTGGGTTCAAAAAATAGTAACCCAATATCAACCCAATACCTACGGTTTGACAATTTTACAACTCGATTAGACATCGGGTTGCTTCGGGTTGGGTTATTTCGCGTTGGGTTGGGTTGGGTTGGGTTGATCGGGTTGGTCGGGTTTTTGAGCACCCCTACGTTTAACGTATTGAACATATTGATGGTCAATCTGATTTTTAGGTCGTAATATATTCAAAGTTGCCGATTTTCAAATTTTACTGATCATTAAAGTCATAGAAATAAATGATAAAACCACATAATGTGAAATAAAAAAAAAGATGAGTTAGTGTTTAAAGTTGAAAAACATACAAAGTTGTCTCAAGTCTTTAACAAGAATAAAGAAAAAGAGGTTCTCTTTTGGCATCCTTTTTGTGACTTATTGTTTCCCACAAGTTTAGTCCATTTTTGGAGAAAATGTGCATTTTATTTTTAATAATTTGTTTTAAAACAAGAAAACTAAATTAGTATATATAAATATTAAGATTTTGAATGGTATGAGATATGGTTAGATAGTAAATGTCAAGTTTTAGGGGTCACGACATTGCATGATTCAAAGGAATAAATAAATAAATAAATAAATATATATATATATATATATATATATATTACTCAATAATATTAAATAAGTTAAACTGATATAAAAAGATGAAAGACATTATTTACATATAAAGCTTACAAAAATTATAAAATTTGAGGTTAGAAGTAAAAGAAATAAATGTGTCACAGCACGTAATGGCATGCAGCGGTGTCATGCCTTAAATAGTTAATATGAGGGTTAACGGGACATGAAGACGTATCATGTTGTCATTCCACGTCTTTTAGGAAACTAATTCACATCATGTAATTTCATAATCCATTCTTGAGACTAATTTTGAACTCTTTTTCGTCTTTTCAAACACCAAGAAAAACCTAAATAACCGTGGTTTTCTGGATCAGTTTACGTGCACCGACTAATCCTCAGAACGACGATGAAATTTTTACTAGCATGCCACTACAATAAGATTGGATAAATCGATATATTAGTCTTTTTATGAAACACTTTTTAAAAATGTTGTATAAAACATCATAAAATGGAATTTTGCTGTAGCATAAAGATAAAGTGGAAGTCATTGTAAATACCATTGTCTTGCATATTTTTTTATTTACTTATTAATAGGTCGCTTTTAATAAATGCAAAATTTCAAATAAATTTTGATCATAAATGGTAGTAGAAATATAGGTAGAGGTATTGAATAAAATCAAAAACAGAAACTTCTATAGACCGTTTCAAAATAATCTTAATTTAAGTTAAAAATAATTTACAATTTGATAAATCTCAAAAAATCAAGAACTGATATTTCTCGCAAGACATAGATCGAGTTTCACTGGCAACTTGTGTTTTTGGTTCGTGCCTATAACAACTTGAGACTAGAACACGTGTTTGGCAAAGAAACAAGCATGATAAGCAACGTTGCAACCGTCGGTCCAGGATGATCATGCTAGAATAATGAAAAACTATATGCTAAAATGTTAGACGAAAATAGAAATCGTCACGTCGGTCTTTTCTAAACGTTATATTATCTTATTTGAAAATACGAAGCTTTTCCTTTTATAATCAAACCAATTTGTTAATTGATTTGAGATATCTAACCAACATGTTTTCTTCATGCACGCTTTTTCCATACACAAGTTTGACAAGTTTCAACATTTTCTTTTTCTAAACGAAAGCTACAAAGTTCATACGAAACAAAACCTAACAAATCGATTTCTTTTACGTATCGTTTTGGTAATGTGTGTACATGGAGTCACGTGTATCGAACTGTCTTTTAAAAACATTGCATATATGTATTACACACGCAACAATATTTAACAATTAATTACCGTATTTCGTAGAATTCTTGAAAGGTTGTTTCGGTTTAAAAGTTTGCATGATTAATTTCACGTAGTTTGAAATACTTCCATGGTATTTCTGCTGTATTTCAAGCAATTGATGTTTTGTAGCTCTATAATTAGTATTTCTAACAAGACGTGCTATTACCTATTCCATCTATGTGGTCACAGACTCAAAAGAAAAGAAAAGGCGATAACGTTTTTCAAGAGGCTATATAATCCACTATATAGTATTTATTGGATGCCTAACTGATGAAAACGACATCTCTTACATAAAGTCGAATGCCCATTTCATAGATTTTGAGATTCAATTATAATGAACGGTTGATGTTCAAAATCAACGTTGGCTTTACTTTATGTGACAAACAGTAAACGAAAAGGTTTTCAATATTTTACAAACGTGTTCGATTGTAATCCTGTAAGTTCTAAAGGGTTCAGAAATACTACTTAGAAATGTACTTGAGCATTAACGTCAATTAAATATATAAATAAATTCATATAAGACAGTCATTTTTAAGGTTATTTATGCTAAATGTTAAAAAAATTACGGTTGCAAGTTACATAATAAATTTATATCTAACTTTTGATATCGATTGTGTATTTTCCAACCCCAAATTGACTTATACGAGTATTTAGATTTCTTTTTGATGTCTTGTTATATTTATATAAAGCAATAAGTTAAATAAACGAGTAATAAATAAAATAAAATATAAGAGTTCATACTAAAAGTTTTATAAATGGAAAAAAATGCTTTAAAATGAAAATGTAACAAAACAGAAAAATTCTTTAACTTTTTCAAACGCTGAAATAAGGAATTACATAATAGGCTCGAGATCAACTCAACTGACAATAAAACTTGAGATTTTAGTGATCTTCCTCAAGAATCACTGGTGGGATCCTACAAATTCACTGGGATTTTCTTGCGTGTTCTTTAATGTTTTTATTTATTCTCACTAATAAGATTGATTTGTTATTATTTTATATAAAGTTTTTATAAAAGTATATTGGTTAAATATTTTAATAATACTAGAAAGATACTCGTGCAATGCAGCATAATACATCTTAATTTTAATGTTTCATTTTATTTTTTGTTTCTATCGATGTTATAAAACGGTTTTATGTGGTATTGAAAAAACAATAATGTTTTTTTTTTTGAATAAAATAGATATTAAAATCTCTAAAAAATTGAATTTGTTGAAATTCAAGGTATTTATTTTATTAATTCTGTATTTTAAACAAATTATCTATACTATATTATAAAGCATTTGACAAAAACTCTTAAAAACCATTTTTTATGCATGAAGTACTGTTTATTGATGCATATTACTTACAATTCAAGATTACAAGTAAATTTTGCATAAGTACAACTTATTAAAGTTCTATGTTTGAATTCGTGTAACTAACTGCGGATAAATATAATCAAAAAGAGGATAAACATCTTATTTTAAAATATAAAAAATCTAAAATATAATTAAGATGATTATTGAGTTCTAACAGAATACTTAATTATTATTTTTATAAAAAAATATATTATTAAACCTAAATTAAGTTACTTCGTTACGATAAATTAAATCATAATAAAAAGTTTGAATATACAAATAAGAATTTTTAAATAGTTAATTTCATATTAATATTAATAAATTTTTTGTAAATTTTATATGATATTTTCAAATTTATATTTTATTTAAAAATAAAAACATTATCGTTTTTTCAAAACCATATAAAATCGTATTATATCAAATAAATAAAAAATAAAACGAAATATTAAAATCAAAATATGTCTCGATGTATTAGACGAGTACTTTTCTAATAAAAAGAAAATGTATCGGAAATGTTTTTTCTTTTTGCAATTTAATCAAGAGTTTGTTTGAAGGGTTTAAAATGTATATTTGTTTTTGGTAATTTATTTAACAGAAAATAAATGAAAAGACCGGGTCCCACACCGTTTACCAGCTACCGGATGCTGATGGGGAAGGAGTCAAAAGTCAACAATTGAGATCTGTAAACGTGGTCGTCAGCTCCACCAAATACTTCCCCTCTTTTGGGTCCCACAAAAATACAAACACACTCTCTAAATAAGAAAACGAAAAAGTCAAACTTTTGGTCTTTTACCTTCTCTCCATTTTTATATATATATCCTTCTTCATTCCACCGTTCAAACACTTGCAGAAACCTGATACATACACTCTCTCTCTCTCTCTCTCTCTACCTATACATACACACTTTCTCTCTCTACATTTCTCATTGATTTTATATGGGCAAAGCTGGATGGGGATTAACCCTGGACACTTCTGAACCAGTTGAATTGTTATCTCCACGGTGGAATATTCCCACGTATTCCGGTGTTACCACCGCATCATCGCCGCCGACCATGGTGGCTGAGGATAAGAATTCTCACCGGAAAGTGGTGAGTGAGGTCGACTTTTTCTCTGCATGCAAGTCAAACGATGATCAGATTTTTGTCAAGAAAGAGAATTCTTCTGATCATCAGATCACAGAATTAGATGTAAATGTAAGTGTTTCTCCGATCATCATATCTTTTTCGGTTCAATCCCATATAAACAGATTCAATGATCTATCAAATTTTTATTTATTTATTTACCCTAAACGAAGAGATCCTATTTACTAATTTGTTGCTAATCTGAATGATGATTATATATATATATATATATATATATATATGCACACACACAGACACACAAGTAATGATCCTGTTATCGATTTTGCCATTTGATTTATGAGACATATTGATTTCAAGATTTCTTGAAATTGTTGATCTAATTATTTATTTTTCTAATACGTTATTATAGACAGGTTTGCATCTGCTTACTACTAATAGCGATCAATCATCTGTGGATGATGGAGTTTCATCAACGGGTGAAGATCAACGAGCTAAGAACAAGGTATATATATATATATATATATATATATATATTTCTTTAATTTGAATTTGAATATGAATATTTATATCAATTATAAATTAGTTGTATTATTTAGAATTATTTTTTCCTAATTAATTTGTTTTAAGAATAATTATTAATATATGATTTATATGTTTGATTTACAGTTGACAATACTACAAGTTGAGCTAGAAAAAATGAATACAGAAAATCAAAGGTTAAGAGGGATGCTTTCACAAGTTAGCAACAACTACACTGCATTACAAATGCATATTGCTAATGAAATACAAAAGCAACAACATTCAAGAAAACAAACTATTCTTCAAGATCAGAAAGTTGATCATCAAGGTTCGGTTTCGAGACAACCAGGTCCGACTTCTCGTGATTCTTCCTCTGAAGAAAGAACTCAATCGGGCTCAACGTTGAACGCACTTGAATTAACCAAGAACGGTGATACAATTGGTGCTAAGAGAATCGCTCGAGAGAATACCCCGGATTCAGATGGTTGGGTATCTAACAAGCTCCCGAAATTGAATCCTTCCAAGAATACCGAGCAAGCAAATGAATCTACGATGCGTAAAGCTCGTGTTTCGGTACGGGCACGTTCGGAAGCACCGATGGTAAGTAATTACTACTTTAGGGTTTATATTCATTGCTTTTAAATTGTTATCCCTGCAAACACTACAATAAAATTGGGTCTATAGCATGCCACCAATTTCTAAGCATCCTGATTTATAGAACTTAACTTTTAGGATAAAAAATAAAGTGTCATCTCTGAATGTGTTGTAATAAGTTAATAAAATGTTTTTTGACTTCTTAATAAGTTCCTAGGACACTTCTAATACAAAACGTCTCATTAGCAATTTTATATGACATTATTTGAAAAAGTATCATATAAAAACAAGTGTCCTATAAAAAGATGAGTTTACATATGACACTTTCTCAGAGGTGACCTATAAAATTTGTTGATGCGACGCTTTATGTTATAAGTGTCCTAAAAAACTTGTTTAAGATGTCCAACAACGTCCTATCAACTTATTACAACGTCTTTAGATATAACTTTTATATTTTATCATAAAAATTAAGTCTTATAAAACGGTCTACTAGGACGCTTAGAAATTGGTGGTGTCCTATAAACCCATTTTTATTGTACTGAAAAATGACTTTTTAATTAATATGTCGAATATGGCTAAGTATTTTAATAGATCATTTTATATGACTTAAAGTTTATATGACAAAACAATTAAACGTCAATATGTAAAAGTGTTCCAATAAGTTGATATAATGATTTTGGACGTCTTAACAAAAAAATTGAATTTTTTTAAATAAAAGGTCTTATTAGTGTTTTTATATGATATTATTTGAAAAATTGTCTTGCAGAAACATATGTTATTAAAAAAAATAACATGACACTTTATTTCAAAAGTGTCATAAAAAACTTGCTAGATACTTCAAAAATGTTATATCAGCTTATTGCAACATTTACTCACAATTGTTTGGTCATTAAGTCTTATAAAATAGTATATTAAGATATTTAGACATATTTAATATTATATAAAGCTTATTTTCTTGTTCATAGCGGTCTAGGCCTAAAGACTTTCTTCTTCTCAATGACAGATTACCGATGGTTGTCAATGGCGTAAATATGGGCAAAAGATGGCGAAAGGGAACCCATGTCCCCGTGCCTACTACCGTTGCACAATGGCAGTAGGATGTCCAGTTAGAAAGCAAGTCCAAAGATGTGTCGATGATCAGACGATTCTAATAACCACATACGAAGGCACTCATAGCCACCCTCTACCACCAGCGGCACTCGCAATGGCATCCACCACGTCAGCCGCAGCTAGCATGCTACTTTCGGGCTCAATGTCAAGTGCGGATGGTTTGATGAACCCGAACCTATTGGCTCGGTCAATTCTACCAAACCCATCAAGCATAGCCACTATATCTGCATCAGCCCCATTCCCAACAGTTACTTTGGACCTAACCCATAATCCAAATCAATTTCAAAGAAACCCTAATTCTACCCAATTTCAAAGCCACATATCATCACAAAATTTACCCCCAAATAGTGGAGATCCCAACCTTTACAATCAATCAAGATTTTCTGGTCTCCAATTATCTCACCAAACTACACAACTACAAATTAACAGAGGTCAACACCATGCATCATTCGCCGATTCTCTTGGCGCCGCTACGGCGGCCATTACGGCCGATCCGAACTTCACCGCCGCCTTAGCGGCGGCAATCTCCTCGATTATGAGTGGGAGCACCACCACATCCACCACCGCCACTACCACCGCCAACAACAATCACAAGGCAAGCAATCTTCAAGGGAATTGAAGATTGCATAGTTTCAAAAAATTCTTTTCTTCTTTTGGTCACCAATTTTTCGTATCTATTAAGTATTTAATGTTAATTACCTCTTCTTTTTTTGGTTCTGTAATAACATATACTTCTTTTCCCTTTTCCACCTAAAAAGATTATTCTTTGTCACTTCTATTTTATTAGTAACCCTGCAAAACAAAATAAGGTGTCGCTTACCAGATGCTTACATGACAAGTGCTTATCAGCTGTAAAAGTCATCTTACGCATTTAATTACCTTGTCGAACAGCGTTCTCGACCATCAAATTGGATTGTTTGTAAGTGTCTCTTAAACAGTAAACGTTAACCAGATTAGACTCTTCTCATTCACTTTACCGAGTAACTTTTTTGGCCCTTGTCATGTCTTTTACTGAGTAAGATTCTCGGTCCTTATCATACTCATATGATAAAGTAGATGACTCTATAAGCGTTTGATAAATGACCCACAAACCATTTATAATTTGTTTTAACATTAGAGTCTAGTTGTTAACCCTATAGCCGATAACAAGTGATTTTCGTATTTGGGTTATGTGTCGCTTTTTTTCTTTCTATCGTTATATTTTGTTTTCTATGTTTGAACAATCTATTAAAACATAAAAACATTAGTTAAAATCATAAAAATCTTGATTTTAAAAAATCCTGTTGAGACTACTATGAATCATTTATTGATATATATTTGAAGTGCAATAAACTAGATAAGTTTAAGAAAAAGGATTTATATATGTTGTTTTAAATCAATCATATATATATATAGGCGAATGATCGTATAAGAAAGAGGGTTAAAAATAAGAAACATAACAAAGAATCTTAACCTTTAATCTCAAACCTATTAATGAATCGCGTTTAATACGGGAATCGATACATCTCATCCTAATATTCATCATCTTTTTGCATTGATGGGAGAAGGAAAAGTGGAAGGAGAAAGGACCCCAAGTTGAAAAGCAGCACAAGATACAAAAACCAAATTGAAGAAGTTGAATGGTCACATGTTCTGTTTCAGGAAAAAGAAAAAATAAAATCATGGGAGTCAACAACTTCGGCCATTTTCTTGGTTGTTTTGTTTGACACGTTTAATAATTGTTTTTTTTTTTTTTTCTTTTTCGAAATTATTTTATTTCTGTAAATACAGCTCATTAAAATAGACCCCTTTATTTATTTATTTATGTTCTATAAATTACTTCTTTTTCTGTAAATAGACTTTCCTAGAAGAAACTTGTTATTTAAAACTTAAAAACTATGGTTATCTTTTATATATTATTGACTTTCTATTATCTAATATTGAATATACGAATCTTAAATATTATTTTATCTCTAAAACAAGAATAACATTTCGGAATATAATTAACACTGACTTTTCATTATAAGATTTGATGGTTCCGAAAATATTCGTTTCGACCCTAAAAGTTTAAAACGATTTAATTAATGAAACATTAAAATGATTTGAGAAGGAAACCCAACTGATTTTCATAGAGTGTTACCCCGAATAATCAACATTGTAACCTCAAATGATGTCAATGTGTACTATAAAGGTATACATCATAGGATGTTTTTGCTTCTAGGAATGCTAAAAAACAGCTTTCTATGGGAAAAAATCCGCAGTTATCAAGGACCCATTTTTTTACATCTCGATCAGGGCCTATATAAAATGTCGAAAACGAGTCTATACTTATGTTATATTTAAAGTGTTTAACACTTTGTTTTATAAAGGTCAAACATGAAGATTTATGATATTGTAGATAAACATAAACACTAAGAGATGAAACACTTATTTTTATCTAAACTTTTAAAACTGTTAATATAACTAACCGATAAACACAAGAAAATCCGAGATACAACACCTCTTTTTTATTTTTTTTTATTAAAGTGTATTATCGCTTTAATTTTAAATATAAAATATCTTAAATATAGTATCATTTAAATTAAATTAAACACCTAACAAAATACTTCATCACATTTTATAAAAATAATCATAATTAAACTAAAGTAAAATATATTTTTATTTTAAATCTACAGATAATAAAACTTAAATTAGATAAATTAAACCATAATAACCAACCATCTCTAGATTTCTCCATAAAATAAAAACGAAAAAAACAAAGCATAAATTTCAGAACTCCGTCTTATTGTACAGATAAACTCCTAATAGATATTAATACGTTGATGTATTTCAAACCGTTGCTACTTGATAATATACAATCAATTTGTTTCATTAAGATGCATTATTTTGACGTATGACCTTTACTAGAAGTGGACCACAACCCATCGGCTACGAAAGCTAATCGGATGTGATAGCTATTTTGGGGTCGTGTTCATGTCTTCATATTCAAACTTATAAACACAAACTGACAAAAATTATTGATCGAAAGCGTACAAGATTATATGTCGTTTTGTTCCGCAACAGTCCGCAACAGCCAAAAATATGGTGTTGAACATAACGGAATAGAAACTGTAGGAGGTTTCAATTTCAAACGATATAAACTTTACAAATAATATAAACATTATATTATGAAACAATCGACATATTTATGAAAGATGATCATGGTTCATTCATTATGATTGAGATGTTTATGCAAGATGATGTAATTCATTTATTATCATTACAACGAATCTGACCAATTGTGACGACAAATGTCGTCGCTAAAGATTAAAACTTTGTTGTTGGAGGTCTATTGCGATGACTATCGTCGTTGTAGAGCTCATCCTTATTTCTCCCTAGTTGTAGCTTTCTACAAAAAAAAAAACAAATCATCGGTAAAAACTAAATGTTAAAAATTAAATATATTATCTACTGCGGTGATATGTCGTTGCTATAGGTAAAAAATAAAAATTAATTTTTTTCCTACAATGATGACAGGTTTACACAATAGGTAACAGATGATTTTTTTTTTTCTTTTTCATCTATAGCAACAATATGTTGTCACATTAAATAAAAAATATTTTTTTTTGCCTATTGCAAATTGCTTATAAAATATATTTTAAACAAATAATTTGATATTCAAATAACTAGAGAATAATTTTGAAAATCGTAATACAATAAGTTTGAAAGTCGTAGTACAAAATTAATAACATAAAATAAAACGTTAATATCTCAAATGTATTAATACATAAATATCTAATCATTATATGTGACATTATCAGTATGCTCGTCATCATCCTGTTGTGGTGGCTGTCCTGCCTTAATTGACGCTAATAATGCATGTGTGCCTATAACGGGGGGTGGAGGAACTAGCTGCCACATGGAGAGGTATATAATTGATGCATGTACTGGTAAAGGAATTTATTGCATCAAAGACATTCTTCATCCTATCATCACTGGGTGAAGGGGGTGCTGGCGTGGGCGTTCAAAAAAGGATGAAGAATGAGAACCCCTCAACTTTCGTCCAATCCCTCGGATGTGACCATGACATTCCCAAATACTTTTGTGATGATTTCTTTCTCCCTCACAGAAGACAAGGAGGTCGAACCATGCTCTTGTGTTTGTGTTGCTTGCTATGCAAGCGTTGCTGTTAGACCCCTTAATTTCTAAAAATATGGTAAAATGGTCGAGTGTTGTAGACTAGAGACCCTATGAAGACAAACCAGAGATAGGTCATGAAGAACCAAAGGTATCAAACCTGATGATCACCTACTGATGAAGAGTCCTTCTGGTCTATGAACAACGCCTCTCTAGAACCCCTTCTAGTCTTCAATTGCTGATGGAATACTTAAGACATCAACTACTGTCCAGTCAGCTCTTGTCTAACAAACTGACAAATGGAGACTCTTGATTGGACATGCCACCTAGAGACAGTTATTTCACTCTACACATGGCAGGCTGTGATTCATCAATACCTTCACTTTGTTTTCTAACAGGTTATAAATAGCTGCTTGATTGCATTCTATTAGAAGATCTTTTTGCAAGCTTTTGATTACTTATTGTGTAGTTTCTTTTGAATATCTGCACCTGTTCCTAAATATTCATAGCTGCTTATGAAATCTTCATAACCCAAGGAATAAATTATAATTCCTCCACTCTAAAATTATTACATCTATTCACATTTTAAGAGAATTGGGATTTGACAACTGGTATCAGAGCCGATTGATTGTTAATCAATCAAACGATCGATTATGCAATTGTGAACCATTTCTCTCATCTATTGGTTTTTTTCTTCGAGATCTAGTTAATGTTCATTCATATCCTCTGTTTTTCACAGTTTTCTCATAGAGATATAAAATCCTGTGATTAATAAGTATTTTCTCCTTGGATCTAGAAGAATTAATTGATATTTTCTATTAATAGAATGTCTAATCCAAATTGGAATTCTGCATATAGTGTGGGTTCACTCACAAAACCTCCAACTCTTCAAAGAGAAGAGTATCCTCAATCGAAGATATGAATGATAAACTTCTTTGAGGGTATGAATGTAAATCTATAAAAATCTATGATTAATGGTCCTCATATTTCACAAACCCTGATCCCTAGGTTTCCATCCACTCCTACTACTGAAGAAATTCCTATATATTTCGTCCCTACGGATGAAAAATCATAGAATGATGAAGACAAAGAAAAAGTGGAAGTGGACAGAAAGGCTAAGAGGCTTCTTATCATGGCTATCCCATATAAATATTCCAATCTCTTGACTCTTGCAAAACTGCAAAAGAGTGTTCGGGATGAACTTGCTAGCCAGGTAGAAGGAGGTTTGAAGACCAGGAAGAACAGGAGAACTCAATGTTTGAATGAATACACAAATTTCAAGGATCTTCCTGATGAACCAATTCAGAAAACTTATGATAGGTTTAACACACTGATTAATCAGTGTCGCATGAATGACATCACGTGTATAAAAAAAGTAAACAATGTTTTGTTTCTTAAAAGTCTTGGTGATGAGTGGACACAATTGTCCATGTCCTGCATGCAAATCAGGATCTTGAAAGTTGGTTACTGCATGATGTCTTTGGAACTTTGGTTGTTCAAAAGCAATACATAATGAAGAAGAAGGTTACTCTGGTGGTCCTCTGACTCTAGTTTCTAAAGAAAAAGAAGCAACCATAATTTCATCAAAAGACCATCACAGAAAGAAGGGGAAGAAGGCATTGATGATATATAGTGAATCTGAAGTTGA